ATATATATATATATATGTTTATAATTCTAAAGAGGAAACATAGATCAGCTGTCTTTCCTCAATGAGAGTGAGTGAATACCTAAATTTTATTTTTTTTTAAGCTGTGCCTACAAATTGATACAAAAGTTGTCTATACATGAAAGATATAACAACGTCAATTCAATGACCGCTGATTCAATTATATTTACACGATGGGAAGATGCAATCGCGAGCGATTGATACGTTGGAGGCGTATGGTATCTTTGGTGAAATTCCCGGAAACGTTTTCGCGTAGACAGTGTTGAGCGAAATCAATTCGAACCGGTGACAGGCTCCACGTGACGTAAATGCAACGTGCATAATGCGATTGTGTATATGCAGCTGGCATAGTGCTTGAGAACAGTGTTATCAGAGTTTGAGCGTGGTTGTGTCTGATATCGAAGAGATTTATACATATCCTGGCACATCCTGATGTTCCAGTTAATGTGAAACATATAGAAATATATATTGTATGGGAATTACAACCCCATAGATCAAAAGATTTCTAAGAATCACGTAATTTTATTATAATAAATATTGCTTCGTTGTGATTAACAAAAATGTTAAAATTATTATACACTGTCCTCAAACTATAGCACAGGTTATAAAATTTAATTAATTCAATCCTTTGAGTTCTTGAAACTACCAAAAATCTAAAAGTTCAATGTTGAATCAAGGATGCATTCATCATTGAGCATTTATATAAATATATTTATTCAATATATATATCGTAACATATCCATCCTCTTTGAACTTGCAATAAGTAAACCAATTACTTTGTTAATAATTATATTAATAATTATCCGCACGACACTGTGAAGCGCAAACTAAAATCTCAAGGGATTAATATTCGGTTGAAATTTACAAATTTCAAAAGACTCTTCAGGACTATTAGGAAAAAGGCCCCGAAATGTTGCTTCATTTTCGTTGCAATGTTCGTCCGTTAATACTCTTGCTCGCGATCAACGATGAAATTGCGTAATCTTATTGATCAGAAACCGAGAGCTATTAATAATTACTGGCGATTATAAAGAGAAGGAGTAGGAAGCACGGTGGGAAAGGTTAGGTAAATAATTACTCTACCTGATCAAACAGAAGCCATTGAGAGAGCTGGGCCGATTGTGCCTCAGTGCGGGCGAGCAGAGTAACGACGTCGTCGCGGAAATTTGTACAGAGCCTCGTGGTGGACTTCCTCTGTTGCAAGTATGGCCGAGCGATTCGCCGAGAGGCGAAGCCGACGGACAGGCACAGGCATTCGTGTTCCCGGATGTCCAAGAGAACGTCAACGATAGTGGCATCGAGTCTATACAGGTAGTATAATCGAAAACGATAACTGGACCGAATGTTGATTAAGAATCTTCGGAATGTTTTTTTTTTTTTTTTCAAATATAGTACCGTCAATTGCGTGAAAGTTGAGTAAAGGGAACTCCGTTGGCCAAGTTTAAGGCTCGAGAGTTGAGAACTTGGAACTTGGATTTAGAAACTCTGAGTAGTGATTAATGAAAGTATGTAGAACCCGATGATATAAAATGGAGGCATAAATTCAGACAGAATAACTTGGTAATATTGATCAAGCCGTGAAATTTAATAGAATTCGATAGCGAAAGAGATTGAAAATCAGGTTCAATTCGAAAGTAATTACCAGCGAGTCGTACAGTCCAATAACCGAATCCACACTCAGATATATAAAGTCACGTCTAACCAATTTTTTTTTTTATCAAGTTCCAAACATGAATACAGCTAGCTATGGTTAGCTACGCTAACAGAATTTCACAGCAATGGCTCGGCAATAACAATTTTTTTGCGATTGTCGTAAAAGGCGTCGCCGTCTCCGTGCGGTGTGGCGAGCACCAGTCCAGCCGCCACGCCTCAACAATCCCGACGCGCCAGTTTACTCCATCCGGACCACGCTCGACTGCAATTGCACCATTTGCATCACAATCACCACAATTCCGGGGTTAAGAGTCCGCCGACACCGGACCGAACGTCAATCGACGAGGAACCTCCGCTTCCGCCCAGTCCCTCGAGTTCAACTACCAGCAGTTTACGGTCGATGACCAGTTCTGCGAATGCTCAGATGCAAGACAGAAGACGCAGCAGCAGGTAATATAGTCTGTATGCAGAGTGCCTAATCGAGTTTGTTCAAACATGGTATTATTCGATGTTCAATTCCGAGATTATATAGACTTATAGTGACTTATATGTATATGCTTGGTAAGACGTTCTCGATCAAGCAAATGTTCGAAAGTATTTAGAAATTAATCGAGTTTAATTGAGTTTGTTGTAAGCATGGTGTAGAATCTAATTATTCGACGTTCAATTCTCAGGTTAGTAGCAGTACATTCATTTTCGATCAGACAAGTGTACGAAAGTATCTAGAAACTAGTCGAGTCTAACCGAGTTTGTTTAAACGTGATGCAGATTCAATATTCTGAGATTATGTTGAATTAATAATAATACATCCGTGATCAACAGTTCTCGATCAAACACAAGTTTCTTCGAAGCAAGTAAGGTACTATTAACATTGGAAGTAAAATTAGCAATCTCTATTCAATTCGTGTGAACTCGTGTGAAATATTTTAACATGAGAACTTTTTTGTAGTATAATAATATACAAACTCGTAGATATAAATATCGTATTAATTGGAAAATTGCTTACAAACACTTTGCATCACGTGTACGCGATAGTAAATTTTCGAGGTGCAGAATTATATATCCTGAAACATACATGATATACGAACAAGGGCAGTGTTTATAATTAATCTACCACGCTTGTCTTCTGTGCTAAAGGTTTGATTTATTCATGACATGCAAATGCATGCGTTTTCGAAATTCATAGTTATGCATTAATTTTTGGACGATAAGGCTGTGCGATAGTTATTTCCATACAGAATTAGTTGTGTCAGTTCAAAAAAGAAGTACCTTATCTTTTCTTTCTAACAAGAAAAAGCTTAAGAAAAAAAAAAGACTTGAAAGACTTATTTTTATGTTTAACCTTCTACGTTGAAATTAAAAAAACTGAAGTTAAGATCAACTCAAACTCAAGGCAAACAGAATTTATATTCATACTTCGTGAATTGACCTTCCTCAGGTCTGTTAATTAACGTTGCTCTTTTAGCACTATATACCACACCCGAAAACAGTAAATGTCCCATTGAAATTTATTACCACTACCGCTTCCGTAGATCACGATGAAAGAGGTAGATAACTCTACCCTTTCGTCCGAAATGTATATACCACTGACATTAATATACATAATCTCGTAATTTTACCCTCCATGAATTTCCAAATATACATCGACGATATTTACATAACCTACAGTGGCGGGCTGCTATTTACGTATATCGCAAACTTTTTTTCCAAGTAAAACTAATATTTCATTTTTCATATTTATGTCGAGTAAAATCTTACTCAACTCTATTCTCTATTTCCCAACAAACTTTCTACATGTACGGAAGAAATTCTTTTACTGCCAGATTCGTTTATATTCACTATCCAAATACAAAATTTCAACCCTGTTCTCCAACCCTGTTCTCATCCTTCATGTACAAAAGAGACTCCTCACTGTTAGATTCGTTTGTGTTCATCATCCAAATAAAATGGCAACTCTGTACTCGAACGAATCTTTCACGTGGAAAAGTAACTCTTCATCGTCACATCATTTGCTTGGCGGATTTTATCGAGATATGTACCTTCTCACTGCTTTCCTCGAACGATCTGCATCTCGAGATAAGCTGATATCACTTCGCTCCAGACGCGTCACGGTCTCGCTTATAAAAGGGAGAAGAGTCCCTGAATGTGTCTGTTCCCGATCCGTGAAATTACCGGCCGGATGAAGCTGGAAATAATAAACCCCCGGGCTGATAGCGGCCTGACGTCGATCTTGACTCGTGTCAAGGCGTGACCCTGGCACCAAGCAAATACGTGCACGGTTATCGCTCTGCTTTTCATTTATGCATCTGAAGATATTAATCATGGCCGCGTGCTGTCCGAACGATTTAGCTTCCTTCCATACAGAGCCGGATATCGTCGGGATTTCGTTGCGCTTTTCCCACTTCGAACCCTGAACTTTCAAGGGTGAAACCTTCACCGTGAATCATATCGTGAATCGATTCGTCAGTAAGCATGACTTTGTCTTTCTTTCGAGTTTCGAGTGTCTTTGAGGCTTGACGAATGGAGCTGTTAAGATTTTGAAATGGTGTTAGTATATTCAGACGATATGCTAGATATTGGAAAACCTTCAAGACAAAAAAATACGGTATGGTGATTCTCGTTATAATAATTCGCCAGCACAGAGATCGCTGCTTTGTGTTGCTGAATTATATTTAGTTCTCTAAATACCAAACTAGAAACTGAAATATTAGACAGTGGCGAAATTTAGACGACGTTCGAGAATATAAAATGTATAAATTAAGGTAAATCTTACGTTTCGGAATGTTCTGTTCCGAACAAGGAGTGAGATTATCGAGTGTTGAGTTTTGCGAATTCTCTTTGTTCGACGGTTTCATTCTCCTATAGGTGAATAGTTGAAGGAGATTCTCGTTGGAATTTCAAATTTTGCTAGATATTGATTAAAGGGGAAGGCGGTCGACTGGATCTGACCAACCCCTTTCGTTATTAAACGCGAGGCTTTAAAATATAAATTGTAATCATAAAAGAACCTTATCAGTAAATTGTGCGATATCAAATTCGTTGCGAACGGCTGTTTTCTTCCCCTCAGTTAATTGGCTCGTTTCTCAGTAAGACAGAATTCAAATTATTCCAATATGGTATAATAATCTTCGCCGAAAGTTCGTTTGTTTTTCTCAGTTGATAAATTGAGGAATTATTCACGCTTGAACTTGGACGACATGATACAAATGAAGTCGTCAAGCATAGTATAACTACGTTCTTCCACGTACGTTCAGACTTCAACGACGTACCTAACTTAAATGAAGTCATCAAACATAGTGTAACTGTTCACATGCTTTGCACAGAGATTCACAGTGACATAATAACTCGTCCTCCTAATGTTCATTTTTTCTTTTTTCTTTTTGTATCATTGCAGTAACTATCAGCTAGCTTTTCTAATTTTCGAGGTCATGATTCAGACATACTTGAATGTATTTTTGCATCCACTACGATGAACGGAATAGAAAAAATACAAGTAAAAATAGAAATACCAATCGTTTGTAAAAAAAGAAAGACAGGAAAAGCGACCTAAGGAAAGGATCTTCGTACGTCTTTATCGGAACTATACAAAATTGAGCTATGAATATAATTTTCGCGTCATAAAAACTAGAAGAAGACACCTGGTATAGAAAATATCTCTCTTACTCTAATTCTGCGATCGATCAAGCTGTGCAAAGCTACTTTTTGTCCCTTTTGTCGCTGTGTATATATGTAAAAATTATCTTCATATAACAATTGTCTCTGTTTCATCGCGCAGCGACAAGAGTACCGATCTCTCGCAAATAATCTTTATACTGTGATAAAAATACTGGCGTGTTCGATTCAACAGGTACAGCATGTTCGACGCCCTGGACCTGGAATACGCGTTGCTGAGAGCAGCGGCCCGTGGTTCCGTGGGTCCTTACTCGCTGTCGGAGTCTCTGCACAAGCTAACGTTCACGCAGAGCCTGGCGTTCCCGGCGCTGGCCCGTGGTCTCGCCTCGAAGCAGAGCGTGCCAACCAGGAGGCCGCAGCAGCACACAGAGAGCGGACTGAACGCGTTCGCAAAGGTGGTCACCGCGCTGGTGTTGGTCCTCGTGAGCGTGCTGGTGTTCGGCGTTGTGTACAAGTTCGTAAGAACGTGAGGATGGCTGCTGGTGCCCGATCGACCAGCTGGCTCCTCGCAGGAGTTCGATCGGCCGGGCACCAGTGACGCCTTCGATCAGTGACTCGTTCGCGCCAATTAAATCGACTTCCAGTCAGCTAGAAGCTTGTTGATGTACGAGCACATCCGGCAATATCACGGAATATCACGCGAAATGCATCGATGTATAGTACTCGGTGACATACGAGCGCAGTTTGAAATTAGAATTCACAGAGAACGAAGGTGAATGTTCACACGGGGGCCTAGATTGAAGAACAATCAAATTGTTGAGATCATTGTTGCCAATGTTGCTTTGGAAACGTTGTGGATGTTAATCCTGCTACGATAGTCGTACGTATATCATATACGAGCGACTCTTCATCTCAATTTTATATCGAAAGTTTCGTTCTGTACAAGTTTAAGATCGTTTCGCTTGTTGGAGTGAGAACAGGACTGGAGAATCGTTAGCAAGCGGTTTATAGTGTTTGATATAAATGAAACTCTAATTACGATTCAGTATTTCAGGCTGCATTCTTTCTCTGTCTGTCTGTCTGTCTGTGAAAATTCTGGTTTATATTCAGAGCCACGTGGTTCTTAAACGAAGCACGTTAAACATTCATTACACTGCCGGCCATAAGTATTGGTACATATCTTGACAAATTTTATTTCGCCACTGTGATTTTCAACTCATGATTCACAATAAATCAAGCAGTGGAAAATGTTCAGTTTATGTTAAATACCAATACCTGTGGCTAACAGTGTATTCTCGCCTAGAAGTTTGGAGCACGTCTGAATCTCGAAACGAGTGATGAAGCTTTTCATCCCTAAAAACTGTCACGAATAAAAGAGTAAATAAATATTTTATTCACCACACTGTTATTGATATTAATTACTGTTGCAACAGTAATTAAATGTATTTAATCGACGTTAAAAATATATGTAATTAAATAAGATTATATGTAATTGTAACGCTCTGATTTTTCGAGCAATTTCGGTTTCACCCAACAATTAGAGGATTCTCCAAACATTTGAGCGAGAGTGTAGCTGCACATAGCTCGGGATAAAGAAATCACGCGATACTCGACGTTTTAAATTATACAGAAGGACGACGTGTCGAGTTGTATACGCGTGACCCAGTTCGAGTCCAACGAAACAGAATCGTTCAAATCGGCTTTAGATAGAAATGCAAAAAATGATGCGACGTGTGTGGTCGAAAATTATGCGAGATCGAATCGAGCTTTTCAAGAAACAATGCAGTGGAAAGAGCGAGTTGTTTCGAACGAGCGTGAAACAGATGGCTGGCTAATATATCGGAGGGAGTAAAAAAAAAAAAAAACACGAGAGGAATCTCGACGCGACATTGAGAATTCAACGAGCGACCGTGGGAATTTAACGAGCGTTTATACCACGCGATCGTTGATCGAGAATTTATGAGATGCGTGCGCGAGCCGCCACTGCGAAATCGCTCGACGCAACGTTTCCATTTTCTAAATAAATAAAATAAAAAAAAAAATTTCCACCCTCCAAATGACGAACGGACGCACGTTCGTGGATACATACATAAGTGAGAGACTAGCTTGGCAAGTTTTGTAACGGCGAAACTTTCTACCGAGTTGTCGAAATTTATCAAATGCTTCGAGCTTATGGTAGAACTGTATTTATTGGAGCGAGATTTCAATATCGCGGAACAAATGATAGATTTCTAGTTGATTTGTTTGTCTAAATTTGTGGATTTCTGAATTGTTTGAGTGAAAATTTCTAAAGTGAAAAACTAAAGGATATTCTGTTATAGTAACGTATAGTTCAAGTGCTTTGACCGAAAGTTTGTTTCTTCGATTTTGTTTCAATATTCCTCTTCTGTCTAGACATTCGTTTGTTCAAATTATTTTTATGTCTAAATATTACATAACTAAGGCAGAAATCTTCTAGTAACACACGCATTTTCCAGTTTCGAGTATTGGGTCGT